ACCTTTTCTTTCCCTTTTCGACTCTCAACCTTCCATTTTAATGGTACTTCCTCATTTGCAGATTCAGATGAAGAGAAAGAAGAATACCGCCCCAAATCGGGGGTTTTATCGAAAATGGGTTGAGAAGGCCTGACCTCTTCTCCTTCCAGGACATCAGTGTTTTCTGCTCTGGCCTCTTCTCGCATCATTGCCAGACTTTCAATCACGAGTTCCTCACTCGCTGCCAGAATATTAGACTCGAAAGCCCTATGTTTTGGTAGATCTCCTTCAAACATGTTGTCAGGCAACATGTCTTCACATGGACCAGGTCCAGTGGGCACTGCAGAAGTGTTTAGATCTATGGAGAAGAAAGGGTTATCAGGAGTATTTTGTGGAGGACTGGGTGGGGGAGGAAGTCTGGCTTGAGCAGTTATTGGAGAACAGAATGCAAGGGGCTCAATTTCACTAAGGGCATCCAATATTTTCTTAGAAGAAGATGAAGAAGAAGACATGGTTGTACTACTGGAAGGTTTCTTTGAAAAACAAAGAGAAGAAGATGAGACAGATTTTGTCCCTTGAATTTGATAAGCGTTTTGAGAAAAGAAAGATGATGTTAAGAGACATATGAGAGTTTCAAAAAGAAGAAGGGCTTTTTAAAAGAAGTGAAAGGGTGCCAGGTCCTGTGATTGGATGCGTCGTTTGAGGGAGAAACGATGGGACTGATCGGTCAGAGTAACCGATGACTGACACGTGGCATTTTCAATGGTCAAAATTTTCAGTTTAAATTTAATGTATAAATGCTAACCTGGACAAGTACCAGGTACCATGGTAGAGTTTAACTTCATTCCTTAATTGTTCTAGTTTCTTCTTTTGCTGAGCAGGTCCCTACTGAGAGTATACCTACAAAAGATACAAAAAGGGATCTTTGTTCAGATATTTAAAATTCACACAAAGTATACCTGCACTGCAATTTTAGCCATCAAGGGAGTTCCACTGTTGGAAGCTAAAAGCATCACTTGGAGATTAACATTCGCAACTTTAGCCGATTCCTCTCAAATTGATCCTTGCTGAGAGCCTTGGTGAAGATGTCTGCAATTTGTTCCTCCGTTGGACAATTTGTGAGCACAATATTTTCCTTCTCAACATTATCTCTCAAGACATGATGTCTAACATCAATATGTTTTGTTCTCTTATGGTGGACTGGGTTCTTTTCCATACTAACAGCACTAGTATTGTCACACATAAGAGGAATTGCTTTGATGTGAATTCCAAAATCCTCCAAGTGTTGCCTGATCCACAACAACTGAGAACAGCAAGCTGCAGCAGCTACATATTCTGCTTCATCAGTTGAAAGAGCCACAGAGTTCTGCTTCTTGGTACCCCAAGAGATAAGTGATGATCCAAGGAAATGAGCCATTCCAGAGGTACTCTTCCTGTCAACTTGATAACCTGCAAAATCAGCATCTGTAAAAACAACCAGATCAAAAGTGCCACCTGCAGGATAGAGGAGAACCAGGTCCCCTGTTTTCTTCAAGTATCTGAGAATACGTTTTGCAACCTTCAGGTGTGAATCACAAGGACATGCTTGAAACCTGGAACACATTCCAACACTATACACAATATCAGGCCTACTAGCAGTCAGATATAACAAGGAGCCAATGATTCCTCTGTACAATGTCTGATTCACAAGGGGATCAGATTCTTCTACTATCATCTTGGAATTTGTTCCCGTAGGAGTATCAATAGGTTTAGAATCAAACATATTGAATTTCTTCAGTAGCTCTTTGATGTACTTCTCCTGGCATATTGAAATCTCATTTGAAGATTGCTTGATTTGCAGACCCAGGGAGAATGTCAACTCACCCATCATGCTCATTTCAAACTCCCTTCCCATTAGTGATGAGAATTCTTCACAGAGATGTTCTTCCTCATCAAGAATGTCATCATTTTTTGGGAGTTTGATTTACTCTGACTGAAATTCAGAGTAGTACCAGGTACCTCATCACACTTTCCAACCTCATCAGCCTCTTCAGGTAGACTATGATTTTGATCATCAAAGTCATTTTTCAACTGTCATTCTGCATCAGCTTCACTTCCTTCAATTTTTTTTAAAATTTTTTTTTTGAATTGAATAGCTTGAACACATCATCTTCATCATTTGATCCATTGGCTTTTAAGTTTCCATCTTTATCAAAAACAACATGAATGTTTTCTTCAATACCTTGAGTTCTATTATTGGATTTAACACTACTTCATTACTTCTAGGATCAAATTTTCCCAGATCATCCTTTCCATTGTTCAGCACAAAACATCTACACCCAAAATATACCCCCTCTTTCCATCACCAAAAGAGACACCCCCTTCCTGAAGTGTCTTGAGTGAGAGGAAATTTTTGATGACACCAGTCATATGTTTAGAGCATCCACTGTTCATATACCAACATTGACTGCTGCTCCTCTCACTCACTTGCAACAAGAATTACTTGTTAAGATTGGGAACCCATTTCAATTTGAGTTCCCAGAAAGCAGATAAGGGAGTGATCAGATTGTATCTAGTCCAATAGGGCAGTTTTTGAATTTTTCTAACAAAGGACTTTAGAGTAGAAACAGATTTTTTATTTGAAAATCTATCAGTTGAAACATGTTTTAGAGGACCAGGTCTCTCATTTGATACTTTTTGCCTTACAGCATAGTTAGAGAGCCTTTCATGGGAATTTTTCCAGCTAGCACACTCTCCCTTTAAATGCCCATTTTTACCACAGTGAAGACAAAGCAGATTGTCAGACATAAATACATACTTACTGTGAGGATTAAAGGGAGGAGTGATATTCAACCTTCCTAGTCCTTTCTTATTGAAATTACTCTGGTTTGTTGCACTTGACAACAACTTAGAAGATTTCGTCCACTTAAGAGATTTTTCAAGTTCTTCCTTAAGTTTGACAATATCCTTTTCTAATCTGTTGCTTTTCTCCAAAGACAGTCCTAGATTTTTCTCAGGGTTTTTCAATTTTTCTTCAATTTCAACTCTTAAACCATTTGACATTCCATTCAGCTTTTCAGCTTCTTCAGTTATCTGATTCAATTGATTCTTAAGTTCAGAATTATCAGACTCTAGAGACACCATTCTTGACATTGTCTCTTCAAATTGAACTTTGTTTTCAGTTAAAATTTCAAGTTCAGCATTCATGGTATCTCTTTCAGATGTTAACTCTATCACAGAATCTAGCATGACTTTTGCCAAAGCTCTCAATTTTTTAAGAGAATATTTATCCAAGTCATTTTTTATGTCAAGAAGAGTTACTTGATTGTCCTCTTTTTCATTTTCTGTGTGTGCCATGAGAGCAAACATTTCATTGAAGACAGTTTCCTCCTCATGCACAGCGACCATAGACACATCTTTTGGCTCATCAGGATCTTCTGAATCACTTGAAGAATCCCCCCAAGCAGCAAGAGCCCTTTTGACAACCATATCAGCAGTAGCTTTACGATCTCTGTTACCAGGTACCAGGTCCCTTCTATTCTCACTGTCACTTATTGGTTTTTGATAATCCTTGCTTTTATTCTTGAGCAAAGGACACTCTTTGATGAAGTGTCCAGCTTTTCCACACTTGTAGCAAGTGTCACCTTGAGCAGCATTTCGAGTACCATTTGTTCCTCTTTTATAAACTTTGTTTTTCCTCACAACCTTTTGAAATCTGCTGATGAGATATGCCATATCATCATCACTGGAATCTTCATCTGATTTATACTTCAGCATCGATGACTTGTCTTTCTTAGCTTCCTTCTTTGATAAATCGTAATTCCGATTCATCTCATGTGTCTTCAGATTACCAATCAAAGCATCCATAGTCAGCACCTTCAAATCCTTGGCTTCTGTAATGGCATCAAACTTGCTCTCCCAAGTGTTTGGAAGAATTCGAAGCAATTTTCTGACTTGTTTGGTCATGCTTATAGGTTCACCTAGACTTCGCAGCTCATTTGTAATGGAAGAAAACTTGGTGAACATGTCATGTATTGTTTCTCCTTCCTTCATTTTAAAGTTCTCATATCGTGAGGTAAGCATGTCAATCTTAGATTCTTTGACTTGTTAAGTTCCTTCATGTGCAATCTTCAAGCAGTCCCAAATTTCCTTAGCAGACTCACAGGCTGACACTCTGTTGTACTCATCAGGTCCTATCCCATAGACCAGAAGAGTGTTAGCTTTGAAACCTTTTTCAATCTTTTTCCTGTCAGCTTTGTCATATTTCTGCCGAGGCTTTGGAACAGTAATGGTCTTCTCTCCATCCTTTTCTTCCATCATCGGAACAAATGGTCCATCAAGTACAATATCCCATAACTCACTGTCTTCAGCCATAAGGTAGTCATGCATTCTAACTTTCCACCAACTGTAGAAATGTCCATTGAAACGAGGAGGTCTGTGTGATGACTGACCTTCTTCCAGGTTAAGTGGAGCTGACATTCTAGAGCAAATGTCACTTCCTTGGTGTTAACCAAATAGATAGTGCCTGCTCTGATACCACTTGATAGAATATGTGCCTTCACTTAACAAGTAATGGACCAGGTCCCTTACTACACTCCAGAAAATACCAGAAAGTTAAATGCAGTAAAATCAACACAATGATTTTACGTGGAAACCTCCTTGCTTAAGGGAGTAAAACCACGACCTGTCTCACAGGATTTTCAATCGTTTTCACTAATCTTCAAAAGCAAAAGTAAAACACGATTACACCAAACGTAAGAAAGAGTTATGAATCTTACCGTTAAGCAATAGTCCTCTATTGCTTAACAAGCCTAAGTAGAAAACAATCTACCCACTAAGCTATCCCACCTGGACAACCTAGACTTTTAACACAACACACCAAATCCTTTATAGATTCAGGAATGGTTTACAGTTTAAGAACAAGAGAATATATTCCTAAACAACTAGACGAAAAGCTCAAGATATTGCTGTTGTTCTTGGAATAATTCTGCCTTTACTTTGTAGAGCCTTTGCAAGAGTTCTTGAAAAGTTTTTATCAAGTTGCAAAAACTGAAGAAAAGTGTTTAGGAAAGTGCCTTTTATATGGGCAAGTCACTTTCCTAAACTTCTTTGCCATTGGTTGGAAGGGTCACTTTCTGACGCCATCGGGAAGTGTGCACCTACTTTCTGCACCATCTCCAGCTGACAGTTGACTGGCTCATCATCATGAGATCCTGGTACCTCTATTAGGTCCCTGAGTTTTGTGTCATCTGCAATACTTCGAACAATACACCTGCAATACTCAAGTAGAAAACCCGGTACCTTTATGAGGTCCCTAAGTTTGTCAAATCATCAAAACTACAAATAACAATCACATAGCATATATCATGCTATTAACTTTTGCTTTCATCTTCATCTCATAACCATTTATGTGCTATAAGTTCCTTCTCAATCATGACGAATAAACTACACAAATATAATAAACTTTGTATGTTCTATACAAAAAAAAAAAAAAAAAAATAAGCAACAAATAAAAACAAGTTAAAACAGTCTTCTCATAGTAGAAGTATACTCGTGTTCTCTTAGGGACCTTTAGAGGAGCTCAATTAACACAGAAAATCAGTTAGCATTCATTATTAATATACAAACTACAATTCGACAATTCTTTTTCCACAGAAAATGTGTTACAGGGACACAAAATTTAAAAGGTGCAAAAAATAATTTGGAATGTACTTGAAAGACTTAGAAATGCAACTTACATTTATTTTTGAATAATATTCTCTCTTCTCCAACAGACAACATGAAAGTTAAGTGAAGTTGTGTAGTCGAAGTCTCATTCAGTCAAGTTGGAAATTTTACCGAGCTTATTCCTTCTTCTTCAACCTAGTAAAGCTAAGCATTCTTTTCTATGTCCTGATTAGTCTGTCAACTGTAGATTTACAAATATCTTCTCATCAAGAAATATTTCACATAAAAATAAATCAATCGAAGAAGGAAGATTAATGAACATTACAACCTCATCTTTTCAAGACAAACTTTGTAGAAAGAAGGTACCACCCAGTTAAGCAGGGATGTATTTTGTTTTTATAAATCAAAAGCCAATCTACTGTAATGTGTCAGCCAAAAAAAATCTTGAACCAACACATGAATGACACAAGCATACTTGTTCAGTTTCTTCAACTGTGAATGAATATCTTCTTTATTCATCAACCTCATATTTCTAGGTGCGCTTCATAATAGTCTCTTTCTTGGACTTGTTTCCGCTCCTGCAGAACCTCTTCACATACTCCTAATTGACAAACCAAGCTCAATTAATATTGAGGCAACGCGACCATGAAGTGTCATAACATGACCAACTACCACCATTGAAGGTATTCCAATTATAATGATTGTCTCACATGTTTTTCTCGTATGGAGTCTTACAATTCAGCAGTAATATATCAAGATCAATATTTAACCTCAATGTGGCAGTATGACGAGAATCTTCATTAGCTTTTATTTATGATGGGTAAAATTCATGTTGCTCGGACTCTTCAAAAATGTTATTGGGTGTGTGTCTGATCCTTAAAAAATAGTACATTCTTGGAGGATCCAACAAAGATGCAACAATATTTTTGGAGAGTCCAAGACTTTTTTTAGAGTAGATTTAAACAGAAAATTCAATAAATCTGACCACACACATATGAAAAATGGGGAAGCATCACACTCTAGTAGCTGACTATGTAAATAAGGATTAAAGGAATGAGAATCAATTATCCCAGAGGAGAAAGTTGGGGCTTCTGTAAATGATAGTTACTGCATTGAGAAAAATAAAGGAAGGCTTAAGCAGAAAAAGTTATCACTCAACGTTTGCAGGATTTGAAATCGAATAGTTCATCATCATTCGATGAGAACATTAGCAAAGGTACTACACGTAATAATCCCATTTTTCCGCTTGAGAGACCAATGTGGAAGTGTCAAGCATCCAAGGCACCTACATGTGTTGAACAACATAAGGTGATGCAGTCATAGTCTTGGTATTTTCGTTTCAAGAAGTGCGGCAAGTCCTATTACGATAGTGTCATGTATGTTCTTTTTCCTTCTTTCTCAAGTTTAGGCCTTCTCCGTCCAGTTCCATTTTTCCTTGTTATGGGCATTGTAATGTTTTGAACATACAATTGTGTACACTATTTATATTTATTTGATTTCTTACCTAGTTCCATTTTTCCTTGTTATGGGCATTGTAATGTTTTGAACATACAATTGTGTACAATATTTATATTTATTTAATTTCTTACCTATTATGTACTGCGCATGAAAGATACCCATATATACTTTTGTCTAGCAAGCAGATTAGAAATAATATGGAGAGACAATTGAAAATTTTCAGACAGCTTCCTGCGTACTCAAGTCATGTGTGAAATGGCCATGCATTGCTTTGACCTTGTTCTAAAGATACCTAAAATAATCAGGAATGGCCAATAAGAACTATGAAAACCAACTTTACTTCACATATGATACTGGTTCATTGACCATCCAGATTACACATGTCCACATAACTATGTCCTACTTTATTAGTTTAGGGTCTGTCTTTGAGTCAGAATTTGGGTTGATGAATGAATCAAATTAATCTCTCTACAAATTTTTGTCATATTGACAGAATGCAGGCTATAGTTACATTCAGGTTCACATCCACCAACTACCTTTGAATAGGTACTTAATAATAATACGAAGAAACACACACAAAGAGAATTCTTATAGAATCACACATCGTAATATAAAAAAACATCTTTGCAACAACTTTTATAGAAGACTGCAAGATGTTAAGTCAAAACTGCATATTACATGATGGGATAATTCTTGTAGTGTCCGATAAAATAGGTAAAAATATCAACACTGCATCTTAAAAGATTTTTAACAATCTACATAAATTAATATTGCAGTGTAAAACATATAGAATATGCATGTGGTTGACCCTGGCATATGTACACCACCATAATAGGTAAAACACAAGAGCGGCTCAAGCATATTAGTGGCGAAGCAAAAATCAAATGGGGCCTTAAACTTGAATTGTTAAGAACTTTTATATAATTGATTTCTTCTAATTTTCAACTGATAGTATAATCATTCTTATTTTAAATTATTTTTCATGATGTGTATTACTCCAAATATGTCAATTTTCTTATAATAATTCCTTCATTTTCATGAAAAGTTTACTTTTTCTACAAATAATATTCAATATTTGTTAAAAAAATAATAACTTATAACCTAGTACTATTTTGAAATGAGACCTCTTCAAATTTGGGGGCCTAAGGCACATGTCTTTTTTTTAAACTGTTGAGCCACCCCTGCTAAGACAATTCACAGAAGAATATGATGTAAACACTTGCTCGATATTTACTTATCAGATTTCACGTGCTATTTAGATTTGTTTAAACTTTCAAGAAGCTTAATGTTGTTATTCCTATTCCTTTCTCTGTCGAATAATCATTTTACACAATCTTCTTTTGTTTCTAGACTCTCTTAGAATGAATTGCAACATATTTAAAAACATACTTTAACTGAAAAAAGTGTTCCTTAGCAAATTCACAAGAACTGTGTTGGTACTTTACATGTTTTCACGCAGACAGAACAAAACAGAACTGTAGCAGAAACTGATACCTTGCATTAGCAATATGATAATTTAAATCTTCAATGGTAGTTGACCTCAGACTCAGGCACGATCATCAGTTGTCCTTGATATTTCTCTGCTAAATCTAAAAAGACAGAGACTATTTATAATAAGATAATAGGACATATCATCAAACACCTTAAGTGCATAATCTGGACGATTCAATTTTACATTTCAATTTGCCACCTTAAATTTTGAGCAAGATAATTTTGTTAGACACTAACTAGATGATAACAAAGTAAAATCATCGAAGCAAATCGAGTATAATTACATGTAAGTTAAAATTTACTTGTCTTGTATGGAAAGGTATTACACACTATTACCCTATTATTTTATACCTCAAATACTTTCAAGGAGTAAACTGTTCCAAATACATTTTGAAGTCATAAAATGGAAAGAAAGAGAGAAAATTGGACTAACTTGAAATTGGTAGGCAATGATGTGGAGTATTGTTGAAGCTTGTTCCAGAAAAGTTGAGAATTTTGAATAATTTCGTGGTACTCATTTTCCGGTGAGAGAGGCTCTATTGGATAGCCTTGCCAAATGCCAATGCAACTGCTAGTTGCTAAAAATTCCCAGAAAAATAAAAAGACAAAAAAAGAAAATTCCTACAACTCTTCGACCAAGACTAACTTGGAGGAAGAAATGCATCAATTTTACAGAGAAAAGAGAAAGATAAAAAAAGAGTGAAAACCAGTTGTTTCTTACGTGTCTGTCAAAAAAAGAAAACTTGGAGGTCATTGACCTAAAATACATACACGTGGGCATTGAACTCAAAATTGGCCCAAATTTATTGTACACATTTTGCTACTTTTAGTACAACTGCATATAACAGTGTTCGTACCCCTCAAGTGCCACTTCTAATAAAGAGAAATAAGTAGTCTTGGACATGTATGCATGTCATATGCTAATTTGTGTGGAGTTGTTATATATATATATACACACCTCATTCTTAATTAGTGCAAGAGTTTTGAAAATGTTATAATTAGTGTGTGATAAATTGCACAAAAATTAAAGAGATATAAGTAGGCCCAAACCAATAACTTTAATTATGCAATTCCAAGTTATATCAAGTATTCAATTTGATAAAACTTTCTTTTGTTTAATATGTTATAACTCATAATTTAAATGCCAAATGTGATTTCAAACTATATCTTGTCTTTCTCCAACTTTTACATTTGCATATGTAACGACCCTTTGGGTCGTTTCATGTGTTAAAATCTCATGTTTCATAAAATACTTTCCGATATATTCTAAGTGGATATTTTGGACTATTAGTAATTATAATTATAAAATTAGTGGGGTAATTTTAATAATTAATATACTTCGTGGTTAAAGAAGATACCATAAAAATTAATAGTAGCTTATTTTTACCATTTTTATGATTAGTCATATAATATGTAGGGTTAATATTTTCTTGGTGATACCACAAACTGTTCAAGACTCTTGTTTTCTTTTGTTATCGGCGCCGTGGATAAAGATCGATAAGAAAGAGGTAAAAACTTCCCCCAATTCTCAAATTATTTTATAAACAATGAATAATATTTTGGTGGGTATTAACTCTCGTTAATATTATTTAATTGTATTGAGAAGTGAGAAAGGTTAATGTATTATAATATATATTATATGTGTATGAAATTGGAAAGAAAGTGAGGAATGTTAATATATATATATATATATATATATATATATATATATATATATATATATATAATATTGTTTGATAGAGAATGAATTAAGGGACAAACCTGCAAATGGATTGCTACTTGAGGAAAAAGAGGATTAATGCATGTGTGCCACTGGTCTCGTGACCAGTGGCTTCAATGGTTAACGTTAGTGGGAAATTAGGAAATTGGCTTCAAGGTGTTGCTATTCTGCCACTGGTTTCGTAACCGGTGGCCTAATTTTAATATTGTAAAATTTTGTTATGATATAAGAAATTAAAGTTTGATATATTGAGATAGGTAATTAAATTTTATGTATTATATAATATGATTATTATTAAAATTGTGCCAAGTGGAGGAATTAAGACTTACTTTTAGATTTGAATTTTAGGAAATATATATATAAAGTTAGGTGAATTTTGGGTCTAGGATAGACATAGAGTAATATGATGTCTGTAGACTCGTTAACTTACAAATATGCATATATATTTGATAGATTGGAAAGGTTCATAAGCATTGAGGAAAGGAAAAATATTGTAAAAGTAGCTTGCGTGACTCTGGTTCTTCGGTGGAGGTAGATTATGGTTTATTTCTATTTGATAGATAAACTCTAAATATCGATTGATATGTATTGAGTGATATTGTAGAGTCTCCTATGTACTTGATTGTGTGGTTGTATGTTTTGATTGTGTGGCCTGTGGTTGGCCTAAAATTATGAGAGTGCTGAATTTTTAATATTGAACCCTCTCTATTAAAATGACGCCTTGAATAAAGAAGGCTTGCTGAAATAAAATAATGAGATAATTGGATCGGAGTGTCACATTTTGACACGGTATTATGGGAACGGAGTGTCACGTTCCGACACGGTATTATGGGATCGGAGTGTCACGTTCCGATATGGTATTATGGAATCGGAGTGTCACGTTCCGACACAATAACATTAAAGGTAAGGAATCTTGAAGTAACTTAATATACTTAATCTCAAGGAACCTATTGATTAAATGAGTATGGTGTGGGGGCATGAGTCCTCACAGGTGTGCTTGATGTTGTGATTGATGGTGTACCTATTATGGTGATGTTGTTGTCAATGGTTCATGTGTTTGTTGCTTGCCACCTGTTAGGTATAATAGTTGATTTTATATTATTATTCATTATATATTGATTTCTATTTTGAGTTTACCGATGATACCTACTCAGTACGTGTTCCTTGTACTGACCCCTACTTGTATTTTCTTCTCTGTTATTTTGTGGAGTGTAGCAAGTGCAGCATCGACTTCGACTCACCCTCAGCTCTAATCAGTCTCCTGCACATCAGAGTTCAGGGTGAGCTATTATTTCTAGCTCGTGCTGAATTCTCTCATTCACGTCTTGATATCTTTGAATTTCGGACATGGACCATCTTTTTACTTATTTTGGTTTCTTAAATACTCTTCGACTTAGTAATTTAAGGATAGTTGTTCTTGATGTGATGACTTCCAGATTTTGGGGATAATAAGTGTTAAACTTTAGAAGCTTATTTAATTGGTTACATTAATAAGTTTTTGATCTTTCGCATTATTTTTGTTATTCATAGTTGAACTATTGATAAATATTGGGGTTTAAATTTGTTGGTTCGCTCACCTAGTAGGTTAAGTGTAGGTGTCACTCATGACTCGTTTTGGGTCGTGACAAACTTGGTATCAGAGCGTTAGGTTCGTTGGTCTCATCACACAAGGACAAGTCTAGTAGAGTCTTGAGGAACGGTATGGGGACGCCTTTACTTTTCTTTGAGAGGCTATAGGACTTTAGGAAAACTCCATTCTTTCTTTCTTTCATTCTATTACTTGGATCCAATTGGTATCTAGGTGATACAAATTGGTATTTGAAATCCTCACTCTATTTCGCAGATGGTTAGAACTAGAGAAACAACTGTGCCAACACCAGTACCGGCAAGACAGGGTATGTCTGAGCCAATCATTGAGGCTGTAACTCGAGGAGGAGCAGTGACAAGAGGCCGTGGTAGGGGTCGCAGGAGGACGCCGACTAGAAGCAGAGGACAAACACCTGGTCCAGCTAGGAAGAGAGCAGTGACTCTTCCACCGACTGATGAGGTAATGAGAAAGGGTGAAGAAGGGGAAAATGAGCAGATTCAGGATAAGGAAGTACCACCCCAGCCTACCCTAGAGATGATTAATCAGGTTCTTACTTATCTTAGCGGGTTATCTGATCAGGGCCAGACACCTCCAGAGTTTTCTGCACCAGCACCTCAGGTTCAGGGAGTACAACATGCAGCTGCTGTGGCTCCCCGCATGGATGCATCATTGGAAATATGCATGTTTCCTCAATTGACTACAGGGTCTATAATGACAAGTGATCAGCATGAACTTTTCATTAAGTTCTTAAAGTTGAAACCTCCAGTCTTCAAGGGTGCTGAATCTGAAGATGCCTATGATTTTCTGGTTAATTGTCATGAGCTGCTACATAAGATGGACATAGTAGAATGATTCGGTTTTGAGTTTGTGACCTACCAATTTCAGGGGGATGCCAAAATGTGGTGGCGGTCGTATGTTGAGTGTCAACCAGCAAGGGCACCACCTATGACTTGGGAATCATTTTCTAGCTTATTTATGGAGAAATATATACCCCGGACTTTGTGAGATAGGAGGAGAGATGAGTTCCTGAGTCTAGAGCAAGGAAGGATGTCTGTTGCTGCTTATGAGGCCAAATTTCGTGCACTATCCAGGTATGCCACTCAGCTTTGCTTCAGTCCACAAGAGCGGATTCGCTGCTTTGTGAAAGGATTGAGGTCAGATTTGCAAATTCCAGCCTTACAGGTAGCTGCTGCAGCAAAATCCTTTCAGGAAGTGGTTGATTTTGTGATAGAGGTAGAGGGGGTGAAGCCAGACGACTTCACCACAGCGTCGACATTTAAGAAGTTTCATAAGGGAGGTGAGTTTAGTGGTTCTTACTCCAGAGGGCAGAGTTCAGGAGGTTACCCAGCCCGTCCTATTCAGTCCTCATTGCAGGCTTCAGCTGGGGGTCCATCGCAGACCATTCAGCCTTTTTATGAGATTGGAGGTTATCTCCAGACTTCGTCATTTTCACAGAGACCAATACTTGACTCCAGGAATTGTTATGGATGTGGTGAGGTGGGACATATTAGGAAATATTGTCCAAAACAGAGTTAAGACCCCCAGTAATTAGAGGTAGAGGTAGTCATGGTAGAGGCTGCCATTCTGGAGGACATGGTGGCCAAGGTAATGGTGGTCACCAATTCAGTCAGGGTGGCGGGCAAGTTGGAACTAATGCAACGCAGCTTGGTAGGGGCAATGGTCAGACAGGTGATAGGGCTCATTGTTATGCTTTCTCTGGGAGGTCTAAAGCAAAGACATCTGATGTTGTTATCACAGGTACTCTTTTGGTCTGTGATTGCATAGCTTCTGTATTGTTTGATCCTGGATCTACGTTTTCATATGTATCTTCCTCATTTTCTATTGGTCTTGATTTATGTTGTGATTTGCTTGACATGCCTATTCGTGTCTCTACTCCCGTGGGTGAGTCTGTGATAGCTGAGAAGGTGTATAGGTCTTGCCTTGTGACTTTTGTAGGGAGAAATACTAATGTAGATTTGATTATTCTAGACATGGTTGATTTTGATGTAATTCTGGGTATGACTTGGCTTTCTCCAAATTTTGCAATCCTAGATTGTAATGCTAAAACTGTGACATTTGCCAAGCCTGGGAAAGATCCGCTAGTGTGGGAGGGTGACTATATTTCCACTCCAGTTCGTATTATCTCTTTTCTTCGTGCTAAAAGGATGGGGAGTAAGGGTTGTTTAGCTTTCTTGGCACATCTCAGGGATGATACTTCCAAAGTACCTTCGATTGAGTCTGTTTTGATAGTCCGTGAGTTTCTGGATGTGTTTCCTGCAGACCTTCCTGGTATGCCATCGGATAGGGATATTGATTTTTGCATTGATCTGGAGCCGGGTACTCGCCACCATTTCCATTCCCCCTTATAGAATGGCTCCAGCTAAGTTAAGAGAGTTAAAGGCCCAACTTCAGGAGTTGTTATGTAAAGGTTTTATTAGACCAAGTGCATTCCCTTGAGGGCTCCTGTTTTATTTGTGAAAAAAAAATGGAAGTTTTTGGATGAGCATAGACTAAAGGCAGCTGAATAAGGTAACTATTAAGAACAAGTATCTCATTCCTCACATTGATGAATTGTTCGATCA